TTCGGTCAGAGCTTCATCTTTATCAGTTTGCCAACAGAATCTTTCTTATGAATAATAACTCTGTAATAACTGCTGCATGAAGACGAATGAATCGCTGTTCCTGCTCAATCGAATGATTCAAAACAATTACGCCGTCTTCACGGACAACTCGAACGACACGTACAATCTGCAGAACTATGTGGAGCGGAATGGCTATGTGTTCGTGAGGGATCGACCTGCCATCAATATCATGCTCTACAGGGACTACTTGTATCGCAAGTCGGTCAGCTTCAGCGACGAGAAGGTGCACTGTCCCTTCGCCATGGCCAGGGAGCCATTCCTGACCAAGAAGCGCACTTTCGCCTATCCAATTGGCTCGAATCTGAGCGAGCTTTTCGACCCCGAGTAGGTTATGCAGTGATTAGTTGATGCACGTGGCTAATGAATAACTTTTATTAGACTTCTCAATCTGGTGGAGTCTGGCATAATCAAGCATCTGTCGGCCAGGGAGCTGCCGAGCGCAGAGATTTGCCCGCAGGATCTGGGCAGCACGGAGCGTCAGTTGAGGAACGGAGATCTGATGATGACCTATTATATAATGCTGGCCGGCTTTGCCACCTCTTTGGCCGTCTTTAGCACCGAGCTGCTGTTCCGCTACCTCAATGCCCGCCACGAGGCCAACAAGTGGGCACGACACGGCGTGGGGCGCTCACCCAATGGCCAGTCCGTCAAGCCTTCGAGGTGGCTGCGTGGTCTGCGACGCCTGCATAGCGGCGATAAGCAGCTGCTGGGCTCGTCCACACATGCCCAGAACATAACGCCACCGCCGCCATATCAAAGCATCTTCAATCATGGCGGCGAGCTACAGCAGCAACGTTGGCATCAGGCTGGCAAGGCACACGGCCTGGTTCTGGGCGGGAATCAGAACGGCGGGGTGCGACGCCTGATCAACGGCCGGGACTACATTGTCTTTCGCAATGCGAATGGCCAGAGCCAACTGGTGCCAGTCAGATCGCCATCGGCCGCCTTGTTCCAGTACACGTATACGGAGTAGCCCAGCCTGGCTGAGGCCAACTTTGACCTTTTCTTAAAAACAAACGCAATTTGATGCACTTCATCACACACAGTTAGCTCTAGTGCAGAGACGTAGACAATGTTTTGCTAAAGTTGTAAAAGTCCTCTAGAAAAACTTAAGTTATATACCATATATGCGCGAGGTGTGCTCGGAAAGTAAAGACTTCTTAAGCACAGCTCGCAGATTAAAAGAGCTACAGAAACTTTTGAGAGTAGAGTAGAGTAGAGTAATATAGAAGCAGTCATAGGTCTGCTGTAGCAAATATAGAAAGGGCATTATCTATACGCAGCTTAGATAAAGATGTTCAATGTGAAGAATTAAAAAATATTGAGGATATTAATAAAATGAATAGACAGGAAGAATGAGAGATAATCTGCTTGCCAGAAGTAGTAGGAGAGCGATGGTTGTCATCAGGATTATGAGAAGAATTATAGAAGAGGGCAGACCCTCTGCATAGTTATACAACAAGTCTAGAGAGTAAAAGCAAGTTTAGTTTGATTTGAAAATCATATGAAAAATTGAATCAAATTATAATTGTTTTTTTTTTTAAATCTCTGCTCATGCCCGACTAGTAGAACAGCGCATCAAAGTTTCTATAGCTTTATTAATTAACAACAAATAATGAATGAATTATCGTACAATATTCAAAAATCAATCACAATAAAATTCTAGTTGTTTTGTGAGCAATTTCTAATCGAAAGTGCCATGCGCATTGAAGCTGTAGGAGGCGGAGTGCATGTCCAAGCTGCTGTGCGAGGAGGCTGAGCTGATGGAGGGCGCACGTGTCGAGGCGGCTGAGGAGCTGCCCGACGATGAGCCGCTGGAGGAGCTGACCCAGGCATGACCGCTGCGTCGTCGTCGCTGGCGCACCAAACCCAACACTGAGCCGGCAACAGGTGTGCTGGACGTGGAGGATTGGCGTTGATAGCGTGTCGAATCCAGTGTGACGAAGGCTGATGCAGCTCGTCGAGTTGCAGCATTGTTGTTGACATTGTTGTTGTTGTTGTTCTGTGGTGCAGTTGCCGGCCTTGCGGCCGACTCCGAGTCACTGGACAAGGAGCTGTGGTTGTCGTCTTGCTCAGCGTTTGTCTCCAGCTGATCGTCATTAATGGACTGTCCATCCAGAATCTGTAGAGTGGCCACGCTGCGTCTCAGCATGTCGCGATATAGAGGCAGACGACAGACGGGATTACCGCTGAGCTCCAGCTCCATGAGCTGGGGGCACAGACCCAGAAACGAGAGCAGACCCAGTTCACTGATGCGATTGTTGCGCGCCTGCAACCTCTGCAGCTGGCTCAGCTCCGTCAAGGGACCCACGCGCTGTATCATGTTGCCATCGGCTATTAGAACTCGTATATTAGGCAGCCCGCTGGTGCCATCGAAGCTGTTGAGGCCGCAATTACTGATGTTCAGGTGCGTGAGCTGCATCAGGCCGTAGCCCAGGTCGCGCAGGGAGCTCAGCACGCTGCCGCTGAGATCCAATTGCTGCAGTCGTGGCAGGAATAGCGAAAGCCGGGACAGGCTCACCGAGTAGGAAATGACACGCAGACGCACCGACTCTACTTGCTCCAGATCCGTGCGCTGTGTAACGCGACGCTGCAAGCATGGACACAGTGGCATCGTGGAATCTTTGATTCTGGGGAATCTCCAGTCAAAACACTTACCAAGAGCTCATCAAGCGTTGGCTCCGGCAGCTGTGGCGGCAGCACCACAGGCAGCAGATGCACGAACGCTGGAAAGTGCTCGCTCTCCTCCACAATGGGCTCATCCCGGTCGAAGGAGTTGCGCCGTTCCAACTGGCGACGATTTTGTCGTTCCACTTGCAGCTGCAGCTGCTGCTGCTGCTGCTGCTGCAGTCGCGCCTCGGCTGTGGGCGCACGTAACTGGGCGAGTGCTGCAGGGCCTGGCAGCAGTGGAGCCAGCAACAGAGGTATCTCCGGCTGCAGTGAGTGCTCCGGCGAGGATTCCGAGTGCTCGGCTGGCGCTTCAAGCAGAGGCATTTGCTGTGCTCCTTGTACAATGTGTTCGAACCTAAACCGGCTGTGTCTTTAGCTGGTTTTGTTATTGACAAAACAAGTGTCCAGTTGCCTGGGGCAACGCATCACGGCCAGGGTTGCCAGCTTGCCGGAGGGACATTTCTTTTGACTCGCGTATTCTGTTGTGGTTAATCAGAAGGACAATTGAACACTCTGCAGAGACTTATAAATAGTAAAAGAAAAAGGACTTTTTTATTCAGCTAGTTAATTGAGACATCTGGAAAGAAGATAACCTTTTCCTTGCGTTGTCAGACACATGATGTAAGAGCCAACTATGTATACATATATATCAATTTCTATAAGCTGCAAGCTGAGAGAAAAGCATTTTTATTTATTTACATAAGCTTCACGTCATAAACAAAGCCATTATTATTTTAAGAACTTTCTAATTTAGGATGAGTTTAGAAATGCTGCTAAATGAACGACTTACGCTATGCGACAACCAACGCCTTAATATTTCAGAGCCTCTACTTGGCCCGCTCAACATTTTGGCTAATGCGTTAACTGACGTCAAGCTGTGACGTCACGGTCATGACGTGCTCTCACTGTCGATGGCTTGCATTTGACTGAGACAGAGACTGTTATGCAGCAAGCACAAGAGCGAGGGAGAGAGAGAGAGCGCGAGAGTGTGAGAGAGGTAGAGGGGAGGCGGCTGAGTGAGCTCAGTGCGACAGTTCAAGTGCCAAGCGCCTTTTGGCATTTCAGGGACCATTAGCTGGGGCCCAGCGCTGGCGAATCGCGTTTCGCGCTTTTGTTTTTGCTTTGCGTGTCTGATGCAGCCAGACGACGCCTCTGCACGCTTTACGATAATAAAATTTGCCTGACGCCTTCGGAATGGCAGCGCTGCGCGTGGCAGAGGCGAGCTTTTGCCGGCTTTTGTGCTCGCTTCGTGTCTGGTTTCGTTGTTGTTTTGGTTCGAGAGCTTTCTCGATTGACGTCATCAACATGATGTACAGGCTGAAAGCTGCGCAGTAGCCTGAGCCAAGCTGAGACGCTTCCACGCATTTATCGATTCAGCACAGCGCACAGAGTGAATATACCAGAGTGTGAGACAGAGAGCAAGAGAGTGACAGAGAGAGAGATAGACAGAGTGGGTGTGGGTAAGCAAAATGTCGCAAAAACTACGACAGCTGCTTACTTGAAATCAGTTCTTGTGGTTGGGGCTATAGCAGACTGAGGCTCAAGTAGCAGACTAAGTTCAGAGTTCATTTAAGATTATTCAAATTATTATATGATATATAACTATGTCTAGGCTATATAGTGTAATATAATAAAAATATTAATGCTTACTCAGTTTCTCTCAGTGTAGCCAGCAAGCAAGCTGACTAAGTTTTGGGGCAAGGTGCTGCTAAAAACAAAAATCCCCCACCTTTGCCAACAGTGGCGGCTGCCTATAAATAGAATTTGTCAATAATGCCTGCACACACACAGACTCTCTGTGTGTGTGTGTGTGTGTGTGGGCGTTAATGCTCACCACGCACAGCTACTGACGTCATTGTGCAAAGCTTTCGCCCTGCTGTGCTCGTTACTACGTTTCAGGAAGCAGGACACAAACGACAAGCCACCACCGAGGGGAGTCAGGCCAGCGCCAGGGCATTTCGTTTTGGGCCATTTTGCATTGCTGTCTCGGCCAGGCCAAGTCAGTCGCTTAGCAGCCGCGAACGCGAGCAAAACATAAGGTTCTCAAGTCTCCACCGGGCGACCTTCATAGAGAAACCACAAAATAGAATTGATAGAAGTGAATTAAGAAAGTTAGTCCCAGCAAAAGGCTGAAGCAATAGAAATATTTAAGCCTTAATTGAAGCAGTGGCTAACACATTTTCCAACAGAATATATTCCTGAAGGCTAAGCACAGCTGTGTGTGTGTCCGTGTGTGTGCGTGTGTCTGTGTGCGGTGCGCGGGTTGTAGCTGCAGCAAGTGCATGCGACGTTTTTGCTGCATAATTATTTGGGTCAAAGCGAAAAGCTGCAGCTTCGCAACTTCGACTGCTCGAAAGTTCAACACGCATCCTGCTGGACTAATCCACCTGTTATGAGGGCACGCCGTAGCTCACGGAACACAGCAGTCGTTGCAGCAACAACAACAACCACAACTAGGAACATAGTGGACACAGCATAAGATAATTGAATCGACAGCAAGAGACTTGAGCCTGCTCACAATGGAGACGACTCAGCCCAAGGTGCATCGTCAGCATCAGCGACAGCGACGCACTGAGGCTCGTCAGCGGCGCTTGGAGCGGGAGGCAGCCGCAGCGGCCAATACGCCGCCCGATCTGGAGCTGGAGGTAACGGAGGCCGTGCTGGAGACGCTCGAGAGTTGTGCGGCGGCTCTCAATGATACAGCATCGACAACAACAACCACAACAACAGCAACCACAATAGCGGGTCGCATCAGCGCGCAGAGCTCAGCGGACAGCATCGAAATGGTGGGATCTCCCAGTCAAACCTCCCAGCAGACAGTGGTACTGGTGAACGGACATGCGCCGCCATCGCAGGACACGCTGGAGGAGAGCGCTTCCCTGGGCGCCGATGAGCCGCTGGGTGCAGCAGCTGCTGCCGCAGACGGCGAGGCCACCACGCGCCTGGAATCGCCCACACAGCCAACCAAGCAGAGCGATGGCAGTCGCAACTCGTCCGGTGATGCAATGAGTCTACGGGAAACACTGCGTCAGCTGCCGGCTACGCATGGACATCGCTCGCGGCGCACACACTCGCCACAGTCGCCGGCTCTGCGCTCTCTGGAAGTTGACTCGTCCTTCCATCGCGGCATATTGGGCTACATTGATCGTGAGCTCAAGCAGAGCTCGCCCACGCCGTCGGCGTTAAGTATGGGCGCGGGCAGCAGTGGGGGAGGTGGCGGCGTGGCTGGCGGTGCCTCACGCAAGCAGCAATCGCTGTCAGATCCTCAGGCAAGTCCCGCTCAGCGCTCGCTGCGTTCCCGGAACAGCTTTGACAAGAGTCCACGGCGGAAGCGCAGCAAGTCGGAGTCGCGCAGGAGGCGTGAACGGAAGCTTATAGCCGCTGGGGAGATGGAGGTGCGCCAGGCCAATGAGACGCTGATGCGTTACCTCAAGCAGTGCTCCGATATGCATGATGCCTCGCTGTCGGGCGAACTGGAAATTGATCAGAGCCTGGAGGAGCGACGAGTGCATCGGAAGACGAAATCGCAGCGCGACAAGCGGGGCCAGCTCATAAGTAAGTATCAGAGCCTGCTTGCTCCCAGTCCAGATTGCCAAATTGTATTCCATTGAGAAAAAGCTCTTCACACAACCCACAACAAATACGATTCTGCGCACTTGCAATGCTCATCCCTCTCACCCAGTCTCTCTCTGTCTCGCTCTCTCTCTCTCTGTTATCTGCAGGCAAGCTCTACTCAGCTGGTGGGCTGTCGTCCATATTGAAGGAGCTGGCGGATGACATTGCGCCCGCCGAGGGCGAGGAGATCTACAATCCATTCACTCCGGTCGTCTCGCCCACGGACGATACGCCCGCGCACATCGACAAAATGTTTCTGCAGACGTCATCAGGCTATCGACCAGTGGAGCAGAGCTACTACAAGCGTTCCTTTGTCGGTGCCGCACGCGGCGCAGCTGGCACCAGCAGCAGCTGCATTGGCATCGACGGCATCTCGGCGGCGGAGCTGGGTGGCGCAGGACGACTCTTTCGCTCGAATGGCGGCTCGGCCAGCGGACGTGGCAGCTACGGCGATACCCGCTGTCTGCTTGATGCCGACCTAAATCGGTGGGTTTAGCCGACACCCGCGTGGGCGTCTATACTTCTGTCTGTTGCGTGTATCTAATCCGGCGGTTCCATGCTATTTTTATCTGCCTTCAGCCTGATTTAGCCCACACATTCAATTCGAATCAATGGATTTCCAGTGAACATTTCGTTTCTATTCATGTTTATCTTGTCCTTTGCGTGTTTATTTTCGTCCAAGACTGAAATCCAAGAAAAGCTTAGTCGTTAAGCTGCTTTGTGTGCACAAATTGTGCAAGAATCCCTGAGCCAAGTTCGCGGCCAGATAGATGCTTTAGCTATTGAAAGATATTTAAATTATATTGAAGATAAATCTAGTAAATTATATAAGCAAATGCTGGGCTTAACTTAATTCATGCTGCACCTAGTGCTCTTTGCTGAGAGCGAGTGTAGAGTTGAATCACTGAATTCTAGTCTTTGGCTGAGTAAAGGTTTGTTTAGGTAGACTAAGACATAAGCCTTGCCAAGTTCAGGAGTCACTGAGAGTCCTCAGCTTAGAGTTTTAATAACTTTTTAGACTTCAAACCAAGCTTTAATGGACAGAGCTTTATTTATATTTATACATTATGAAAACTCTGTTGTATTTTTCTTTAAGTAGCTTTTATTTATGCATTTAAATTATTTAAAATATATAAATATTTTTTATTGACAAATAAATTTATAATTTCTAGCAATGGCATCTCGAGCAACATACAACTTGCCTGTGTTATTCAACGAATTTGGCTGCTCATCTCGAACATATGCCATGGGCTGCTAGCTGGTCTAGCCTTGGCCCATCTGCTCTTTGTGATGAGTAGCCATCCCACGGACTGGGCAAAGGTCATCAACAGCATTGGTCTTGCGGGCGAGACCGCAGCGGGAGCCGCAGCAGCAACAGCAACTTCATCAACAATCACAACAACAACAGCAACACCAACAGCCCAAATGTCAAAGTTGGGCATAGAACTGACCAATTCTGCTAAGGGAACGGACTCTGGAGCGGGCTCAGCCACGGCAGCGACGACGCCGACAACAAGCAGCGAGGCCATTGCACTGATTAGCGATTATGCTGGCTTTGCTGATATCTATCTAAATACGTTCTATTGCTTGGCCATAATTTGCCTAGTTTCGGTATTCGATCGGTAAGTGAATGGGAGATGCGTATTTACAGTAAGATTTCGAATCTTATCAATCATGATAATTGGTTTGTTCAGGGCTGCCCTTCGTCAGCGGCGCGCTATATATAGAAAATGAAAGTCAAACTCATTTACTTCAAGTACCTGGTGCGGTTTAGTGTGCGTGCTAGCCAAGTGCTGGGTTGTTGTTGTTGTTTGGGTGACCCAAGAACACATTGACCTCAAAGCGCACCGACTGCCCCAAGGTGGAAACCCTTCAAGCGGCCCGCACATTTCATTGAAAAAACATGCACGCACACACACACAGAGATACAGATGGCTGCCACCTCCTGTCAAGAGCATATGAATAGTAGGCAGCCACTATATTCTGGGCCAGACCTCGCCTGCTTCACACTACAGTGGGTGACTGAAGAGTGGCGCGTGGGCGCTTCATATTGCGTCAATATTGCCACTTGGGCCCTGAAAAGTATGCTATACTTAATTTTGAATTGCAAATTTTCAAGTGCTTCGCTTTGTTTGTCTTCGTGGCTGTAGTCGGTTGTCAGTCGTCAGTTGTCTATTGTCCGTTGTCTGTTGCAATAATTTTTACTATGCTCACTGCGTAGCCAATTTCATCATCTAAAATATATATATATATATATATATATATATATATATATATATATATATATATATATATATATATGTGTATATATATATATATTTATATATATATATATATATATATATGTATTATATATATACATTTTAATGCTCTTAAACTTTGCTCTTTTTGCGCTGCCCACACACAGGAACGCGCGCTGTTCGCTTGCTGCACTCTTGACCTTTAAAGCTAACAAATGTGTATGTGTGTGTGTGTGCGTGTGTCTGTGGGTGAAATTTTTGGTAGACCAAGCAAACACTGAAATTGTCTGCTTTTGTCTGTTCGGTTTGGGTTTCGGTTTTCGGTTTTCGGTTTTCGGTGTTGGTCTTACTGGTTTTGGCCATTGCCATTGCCATTCGACACTCTCACTTTTCCCCAATCCTCAGGCGATGGCAGCGAAAGTGTAAAAGTCAGACTGACATTTCGCCTCGTTATCCTGTGTCCTGTGATTTATGTGATGCTTGCCGTCTTTGCAAATGTCATTGGTTGTATTGCTGGCTTTGGTCTTTCCATGGGCATCATGTGTAGCTTTTGACCTTTTCCATCTCCGAGTCATCTATATACACAAAGGAAATAGTGCTGTTTTGCTAGTTCAGCAGAGCTTTAATTTAATTAATATAAATGCCAGAATACTTGAATAAATGCCAGTGGGAAATGACACCTCTGCCCTAATGCAAACATAAGCAAAGTGGTTGGGGCTACTAGAGCAGCATTTGCGTGGCTTGCTTTGGAGACATATTTGTATACTCTGCGGCTTGTACACTTTAAGGGCCTATTTGGGAATTGGTACTAGACAAAGGGGAAGTACCTTAATAAAGTATATTTATCGTTAACCTAGATCATAAGGTTAGTTTATCTAGCCATTTCTGATTTTCGTATATGGAAATTCGTTGATGTCGAGAGTTGCAAGTTACTGAGCCTCTTTTTGTTTATTACGCCATCATTGCGAGCGATAGGCTCGTAAATCAGCTGAAATAGAAATTGCAATCAAATGAAAATGTTCCAGATATTACGTTAATTATGGTTTTACTTGAAGCTATATCTAGTCATTATTCTGGGAGCTCTATGGAGCTTTTCTTAACTGAATTGGAATTAAGTTGAGTCGCCAACTTATGTATTAATATCTATTAATATTAATGTTAACCAAATCATAAGCTGAAATATATTTATTGAAAATAGTATTACTAGTATTGGGTAGTGCTTTACCCTTAATCTCGCAATTTTGGCAAGAAAATATATTCCAAGCTGTAGGTCTCTAAGTACATTGCGTTCATTTAGATAAGAAGTCAGACATTGCACAGAATGACTATATTCTTTACACTTTCGTGACCAAGTATAATAATAAATTCATTTAAATTTCCTTTAATACATCGTATATATTCCATTTTCAAGCTATTAATATACGATTTATATTTTGCAGCATGGACATATGTCGCTGGAGCTTCTCCAAATGCCAGCGAGCTAATATCATTTCGCTGGCTGATCATCACGATGGCTCTACTTCGCCACAATAATCCTAACTATATGCTCCGATTCCATCGACGAGAAGCTCTATCTGATCAATAATAATGCTAACATAACGCTAACACAACAGGAGTTTGGTATGTCATGAAGTTTGCAGCTCGACTCGATTCGCTGATTCTAATTGAACTTTTCCCGCAGCTAAGCAACAGTGTGCAGAGTGTTTGGAGTAGTCTGTCGGTGACGCGAAGCATTGCAGCCATATCGGCTGGATTATGATCGGGCTGACGCCCCAGGAGGACATGCTTGTATGAGCATCTGGTGATCTAACCAAAATATCAGTTGACAAATAATTGAAATTAAGTGCGAAAATATTAACTATTGTGTATATATATAGTATATATGTAGCGAAAACCTTTAACTAGTAGTTGCTGTTGTTTAGTAATTGGCTTTTTTATATTGTATAATCGAAATGAGTTTGCTAAACACGGCTATTTGAAACAATAATGCATAGAACTATATACCTAGAAAAATTGACAACATAACGAGAAAACCAAATGAAATTAAGCTTTTAAACAAATAAAACTACAAATGTGAATAAACCAGCTGCAATTTTCGATTATCGATATCGATTGTCGAATATCGAATGTCGATTATCGATTACCGATTATTGATTGTCGATTGTTGATTGCATTGATGCCCTTCACTGGCCGCTAGAACCGAAGTTTAGTTTATTAAGTCTATTCGAATTAGTAGGAACCCGAAACATGAACACCATACTACCGTACTAGTGGACGTGGATAACCTATGCTAAACACGGCATTATATATATAATATATATATATATATTATATGTTGATAATTTAAGTAAACATATCGACTTTAGTGAACAAATTTAATAAATATATAAACGTTGTCATCGTTGTGGCAGTTTAACAAAAGGCTTCTTAGTATTAAGTAAAGTACGTACTACAGTTGGTATCCGCTACACGCAACCAAAAGCAATAACACTTATCAACTGTAAGTTGATGTATATATTGTTTGTCAGTGCTTATCACTTGCTAGCTTGCTGATCTGTTCACTATATTAAATAGCTTATTAAACGAAAATAAAAGCTGCAAAATTGAAATTTGTTTCCTTTTCGTTGTCAATATTTTTGTAAGCTCGAACACCAAATCAGATTAGTCTGTATATGATTAGAACTCGCGGACTTTTTGTAGCTCATATTCACACTCAATATGTACATAGTTTTATATGCTCGAAATATATATGTATACTATTTCCGTTACTAGCGATATCCACTGTAGTCAATCAAGAGTTTGATAAGTGCAATGAAATTTGTAAAGCGTTAATTACATACATAACACAAATGTCTATAGTATAAGTATATACTATATTTATACACATATGCGACTATCTCAAATTATATATACATATATATGAACGAATTGTATAAACATGTTCAAATTAATTAATCATATATATATGAAATATTAAATTTGCGTTTTAACAAGCGAAATTCCTATGTTAATATCTCGTTTTTCGTTTTCAAATGTTCAAGCATCACTGTATTGCTCTATATATATACATATATATATATTTTTATTTTTTTTAATATAATATGAAACAACTACGATATATACATATATGAATATAGAAAACGGATATGGACAAACGAGCTAATGAAACAAACAGAGCAAACGACAAACAGGCAAAAATTTATTGTAAAATTGTATATAAAATATAAATGCAAATAAAAAATTTGTAAAAAAAAAAGCAAAATTGCAAAAAAATAAATTTTAACTTTTAGATTGCAACTAAATGTTCAGTTTGGAATTAAATAATTGAAGAAGTCGAAATGCTCGGAAATTGCTTTCGCAAATCGAACATTTCTAAAGAGCTGAAAGGAAAATTTGTAATAGATCTGAAGCAGACATTAACCATTTCAAAAACCTATTATAATTAATTAGAATCTGAAATAATTGTTTTTATTAAGTTTTGGCTTAACAGGCGAAAACCTGTGGATTTATTGCATAGGATTGGTTTCATAGTCAGATATTTATTACTTTAACTAATCAATTACTTGTCCAATCCAAAAATGTCAACAGAATTTAATGCAAATATAAAGGGCTTGCGTTGCAAAGCTTTAACCAAATATAAGCCCAGTTTTTAGTATTGGAACTATAAAATCGACGAAACGGTGTTTATCAGGGTGGAAAAAAAGTTAAAATTCATATTTCAGATTTACAAACCTTTGAAAAGTCACTTAATGCGAACTGCACATCGAACAACATCGACTTTGTTTTATGTGAATCAGAGATAGTAAATGATTTTCTCTATAAGTTTATAAATAGTTGTTTGTACTAACTCTCTTTCGCATGCTCTCGCTTTCTCTCTTTTCCACTCTCAACTTTGATATATTGTGCTTTTATATATTCGTGTACAAAGGGCTTAGTTCTGCTTGAGCTCTCAAACCCTTGAGCTCATTAGAAACGGGAATTCAAAGTCTTTTCTTTTTTAAGTATAAGTAACAGACAGGGAAAGTGGGGCTTACTCCATAGCGTATATTTATTCTTGATCAGTATTAATAGTCGAGTCGGTTTAGCTGTTATGCGCTAATCCTATGGTGAGTCTTATAGCTGGTAATCCTATCTTACTTCGAACCATAATAACTTCTTCGATTTCATGTAACAAACTCACATATCTGAAAATGAAGTTATTTGAACGTATTGCTAGCTAATTAAATTGAGTTCTGCATTCAGTTTCTCGTTCAGTTTATAGAAGCAAATTTAAATATTAATATTTTTTGAAAATTATTATTATTATTATTATATTATTATTATTATTATATTATTATTATTATTATATTCAATGGATTTCTCTTTTATATGTATTTATATATGGTTTTGGTTAGTTAATTTTCTATTAATTAAAGTGGATAAATAATATATTTATTGTCTAAGCCGAATGTAGACTTGTTAAATGTTTTTTATTCAATGTCAACTTATATTTAATGTCAATAGCAAGCTGTAGCTTGCGGCCGATTTGATGAGCTCCTTAGAATTGGATATAAATCAGCAGTGCAGGAAATTTATTAGATGCGAAGTCGGAAAGTTGATGTTTATGAGGTGCTGCTATGTTACCAAATGCTCTTATTTATGACTTTGTTATTAACTTATAAAAAAACACAAGAGCTCTGTTCAGTTTAGCTGCTAGTCAGGTACTCCAATTGTATAAGGGATTTAATTGAAAATACTAGTTTTCATCTTCTTTTGTCTTTATTAATAATCCACATTCGTATACTGCTATTGATGTTTAATAAAAAAATATAAATCAATGAAATATTATTTGATTTCTTATAATCACTTTGATTCTCACCCAACTGCTTTGACCTCTTGTTACATTTTTAATAATGGATTCAATGGTCGCAAGATTGCAATTACTTTTTTAGCACTGAGCTTTACATAAACATTTTTCGACTTTTGATCGTAAAAAATGTAACATTTTATTATACTCTAAAACAAGAAGTGTAATACGATTTACCGGGTCAAACCAATAAAGAAGACAATCTAATATCAAAATTGGCAATTAAGGGGAAATACTTCAGCCGCAATACCTTCAATAATAAAATGCTTGAGTACGTGTGGGATCTTTACGTCCAGCCCACTCCATTGTCCTTGGCAGTGTCCTCGGCATCGTAACGCACTCGTTTGATATGCAAATGTGCAGCAAACAAAAATATTAATTAGCTGTAAAATTGGGTTTGCAAATCTAATATTTTGTGTAACATGTGCGCCAAGTGGCATTTATCAAATTTGCATAAATAACTCTCGAGCTGTTTTTATTTTAAACACATTTTTCTTATGTTGCCATGGAAAAAGTTGTGTCGAGGCAAAACTTTTGCTTGTTAGCCAAAACGAGCGTCTAAATTATATATAATGCATAAATCAGCATAAACAGCCAGAGAGTGGACGCTGGCCAGAACTGCGAGCTCCATTATATATGTGCTTAAATATATCAAAGCACCTTTCCCCTGCATATTTTAGTTTCGCACAATCAGCTGCAGGCAAAGTTTCTTTTAAGTCTA